TCACAACCCCCCCCCCCCCAAAAAAAAAAAAGGTTAGAGAAATAGGTAATAGTTGATTTTATAATATTACAAAACTTTGATTAAATTAAATTAAATAGATAATCTATAGACTTTTCCGAACTATAAATAACATTAGGGATTACAATTTAGAACCGCATGAGTCGTTGGTCCATATTATTGAATTCTAATGGTTTCATGTAAATATCGGAGCCCATTTTGTGAATAAAGAAAAAGAATAATGCGTTTATAGAAAAGAGGTTATATTTCCAATAAATGAAGGGACGTGAATTCGTTGGCGGTAGATACTAAATTCACATGCAAATTGCATTTGTTCTCTTGAACCTATCTCCCCCACTTTTACTCGAATAAATTAAAGGGCTTCCTTATTGTTATTTATTTATTTATTTATATACGTTATGCCTTTTCTGATTAATAAAACGAGAACATATAAGCCATTTATTATTGAGTACTTTGTCACACTTAGAGTCTTACTATCCATGTGAAAAAAAAATATATTGTGACATGAAATATTATTAACAAATGGAAACCGAAAATATTTTCAAAAATATACTTCAAATAAATTCATTATAACAAAACATGAGATTTTAATTCATTACAAATATGGTGAAGAAAATTGGTATGAAGTTTGGACGGGTAAAGATATATTTTATATATTAAATAATAGATGAAATCTAAAAAATGTGAAATTATATATGGAAGAAGAGTTTTGGTCATCAATATATAAATTAAAAATTAGTTAATAAATTCTAAAATAAAGAGGAATTTTGTTATAAAACAAAATAAAATGCAGAAAATGAGAGGGAGGTTAGTATTTGTAATTAGAAAATTAATGGAAAAAAAAACTTTGGGAATGTGTACACGTATGGCATGGGATAGGTAGAAAAATTAAATCGTCGGTAACAGAAAACGAATCTAGAAATAAAGCAGTAGAGAAGATACAATAAATTAGAGATGACGTGGCAGATTGAAGAAGATATGGTGGGTGCATAGATACATTATATGCCTTCATGCTCCTTGTGACAACCTCCTATACGCCCACCGCCCTACCCCTTTTCCTTTCTTTCTCCATGAAATGCTACATTTTTTATTATTATAAAATTACATAATTATCTTATTATAATTACTATATAGATATAGTTGCCATGAAAAATAAGTAAAATCATTTAGATTTTTATATTTATCTACGATTCTTACATTCTAAAACTTTATGAAACATTATACACAACATCTATAAATATTATGCGCATAGATGCATCGTAGAAATATAAAATTGACAAGACGTGCTTTGAAAATATTTGTCATGAATTACAGAGCAAGAAAATTATTTGAAAATCTAAACTATAAATATTTATTTATTGCGAAGAAAATAAAACAGAATTTTATATAGATTATTACTCCCTCCGTTTCAAAGTAATTGTAGATTTAGGTTTTTTCACATTTTTTAAGAAAAAAATAAAAAGTCATATTTGCTCTTATTTAATATTTTTATTAATATATTTTTTTTATGATTTTAATTAATGAAAATCTCAATTCTCTTAAATATTCGGTCTTTGATATTAATGTTTACGAGAAAATTTTAGTTTGGAGGGAAATTTTAATTTGGTAAAAAAATAATTTGGAGCCAAAACCAAAACATTCACAAATTTGAATTTATGAAAAAATAGAAATAAGAAAATCTATGAAAAAAATACGGATCTGAAATAAGAAAAAAATGACGAGAAGATGAAAACGATGAAAACAAGTCAAAAACAAACATTAATAATGATCAAAATATAATTAATATTCATTAAATTTTGATGATAAAAATAATGATATCATTAATCATTTATTGGAATATGTTAGGAATAAAATTGGAAAATAATGTAAAAAAATGTATTAAAAATATAGAATAACAAATATTTTGAAACATAGAAAATAATTTAAAATTATAATTATTTTGGAACGGAGGGAGTACTATTAATTTGAAATCGGAATCATTATATAAACAAGTGTGGGGTTACAAGATTGTTAGTTTACAAAATTTAATGCAGAGTAGTAGCTTTGACTTTTTCCTTAATGCTAAAGTTTGACCAATGGGCCCCGCTCCGAGAGAAGCACTTGTAACGTACGGCTAATGCACGGCGTAATACGTGGCCCGATGAATGCGGGAAAAAATGTGGGCCCCACTTTTCGTTCTTTTATTATTAATTTCTTTTATTTATTTATTTTTGTTTTCCCAACTTTGCTGTGTGGTGTCACGTTTCACTCGATTTATTCGCTTCGGCGGGTAAATATTTGGCGGCAAACAGTAACGTTACTTTTTGACCGTTGTAAATTCAATAGTCTTTGTGTTCCGGTAAGCATTCAATTAATTATTTTTATTATATGGATTTTGATTTTGATTTTTAAACAATATATGATATAACTTTTCATGGTTTTAATGAGAAATAAAATTTAAAAGACTCACTCTCACAATTTTTTTAGATTATAAATTTAGGATTTTGAAAACCCTAAAAGGTATAATCAATCAACAAGATCCGTGTTTTATACTTATTTTGTAATGATTTGATCTATTTCATCTATTTTGACAAATGAATATATATATATATATTAATATATCTATAGGGCTTAAAATTAGTTGGTAATTCAAAATGATAAATAATAATAACCTAAAATGAAAGGTGATATACGGAATGAACGGTGGGGTTATTGGTATAAAATAAAAAGGAATATAAAAGATATGGGGGGTGGGGGGCCAAAAGGTAAAGAGATTTCATTGTTGAGCGGAGCAAAATCCGTTCTTGATTGATGCCCTCGACTTGCATTCGAAGCAAACTTTTTTTTTTTTTAATCTCAAACCCAATTATTCTTCCATATCAGAATCTAAAAATCATTTTTACGTATTCGTACATACACCTCATGAATACATTCGTGAATCAATATATATATATATATAGTTGTGTATGATGTAATCCTTATGGGACCGACTGGTTGCACCGCCGCCACCTGTAAACGGAGCGGTTGCGATTTCCGGCGGTTGCGGACGATTGAAAAACTGACTGGTTGAACCGCAACCAACCGCAACCGCAACCAAACTTGTGTTTTCTAATCGCAGTTTCTAACTTGCGTTTTGGTAGCGGTTTCCGGCGTTTTGACAAAAAAACTAAAATATTTTTATTAGAAATTATATAAAATATTAATATATATATATTGGTGATGATTTTGTTTAGTGTTATGATTTGATATTATTTTTTAGTACAATTTAATTAAAACTATTATAAAAAATTATTTTTAAATAATATTTTTTTGACTATTTATATCAAAACGCAACCGCAACCGTAATGAACCATTCACTTCTAACTGCATCCACCCGCAATCGCTACCAACAACAACTTCTCAACCAATCAGTACTAATCATTTATAATCGCTATCAAACGTTTTGAAAACGCTACCACCCGCAACCGCAATCGCTGCAGTACAACAAGTCGAACCCTATGTATATAGAGAATCTTAAAGAGGGGTTTTTCTTTTTTGCTTTCTTGGTTTTTATTACCCACCGAATTTCCATATCAAAGATGTCATGAATTTCGATTTTGTTAAAATATATATTTTTTAAAATAGATTTTTTTCTTTAAATTTGATTTTTTTTATTATTACTTTGGGATTAGATTAATTCAATTGGTAACGGGACCAAAATATTAATAATATCTGCCCCTAGATACTCCATACGAACATTGAGTAATTTGGTCAAGGTCAATTACGTTTAAACAGAATTACCCGCCAGGTAAAATGTAAAAATTGGAAAAATGAATTAAAAAAAAAAGGGGGGACAGAGATAAGGGAGACATATCAAATCTATATTTTTGAGAACTCAGACGACACTTTGTTTATTTGGTCAACATGACATTTAATCTTTCATATTTCATAAAAAAAAAAATCATGGTTTTTCTATTTAAAAACATTAATGTATGAAAAAACACCAACTACTCGTAAAGGGTCAAATAAAGCATTCCCACGTAACCGAAAATCTCGAGTTATATATACATACATACATATATACACGAACCAAGGAAATGTTATAAAATTCATAAGGTTTAACTTTAGAAATTTGGTTAAACCTAAACTAATAGACCAAACTTTATGCATACCATATTTCAATTAAAAAAAAATCTAAAAGAAAAAGTTTGTGCATACATATTTTACACAAAACTTTATTGCTGTGTTCAGTGATTATCACTATTTATTAGAAATATATAGTTTGGTACTGGTATTAAAATAACAACGGGAATAAAATTCAAATTAAATGTAATATTAAATACATTTTTAAATAACTATTTAATTAATAATAAAGATTCCAGAAAACAAAACATATAAAAAAACTAAATGATTATTATTTAAAAAAATAAAAAATAACTAAACCATAAAACTCCAAATATCCATCTAATATTTTTTTTTCAAGGAAATGAAGCGTTCATAATTGTAATAAATTGGTTTAGTGTAAAAATGATCTAAATCCGGTTAAAATTGGGAATTCATATTCGAATCCGAGATTTGTTGTAATTTGTGCTCTATTTAGTGGGATTCTTGCTTTTTCTAAATGTTAATTTAACGCATAGACCAATTAACCCAAATTGCGGATCTTATTGTTTATTTTTGCAATTTTTTCCATGCTACTTTTTTTACGGAAAAGTCAAAACATACAGAAATAAATAAAATTGGAACGGAAAACTGTAAAAAAAAAAAAACACAAGTTCTTCGAACTTTTTTACAGAGAGAAAAAAAAAGTTGTTCGGACAATACTCTCTCTAACTTTGGAGTTTCCCTCCCTCTATAAATACCAAACCTCACCCGTGCTTTCTCCACCATCTCCTCCTCCAAAACCAAATCAAAACCCCTTTTTAGATTCTTCTTCTTCTTCTTCTTCTCTATTCAATTTGTTCTAACTTAGGTAAAAAAAATGGCAATGAACCCAAGAATTCTGGTAACCGCGTTGCCTCTGTTCGTGCTCTTCTTGAGCTTCGCCGACGCCAGAATCCCCGGGATCTACTCCGGCAGCGCCTGGCAAAGCGCCCATGCTACTTTCTACGGCGGCAGCGACGCCTCCGGCACCATGGGTCAGTCTCTCTCTCTCTCCCTGAATCTTGAAACAGAGCATACATGCTGCAAAATGTTCTTCATTCGGGCAAAACAGAGCACAAATGTCTGAAAAAAGATTTCATTTGGGAAAAACAGAGCACAATGTTTTAGACATGGAGCTTCCATATTGTCACTTTCTTACCAATCCGTTACAGAGTAATCCTAACGATAAACTGAATTACGGGGTTATTTTCCTGATTAACAACAGGCGGCGCGTGCGGGTACGGAAACCTGTACAGCCAAGGCTATGGCGTTAACACAGCAGCGTTGAGCACTGCATTGTTCAACAACGGCTTCAGCTGCGGGGCTTGCTTCGAGATCAAATGCGCCAACGACCCTCAGTGGTGCCATTCAGGAAGCCCTTCCATCTTCATCACCGCCACCAACTTCTGCCCTCCCAACTTCGCTCAGCCCAGCGACAATGGCGGCTGGTGCAACCCCCCACGTGCCCATTTCGACCTCGCCATGCCCATGTTCCTCAAGATCGCCGAGTACCGGGCCGGCATCGTCCCCATCTCCTACCGCAGGTACATTTCGAAACCCACGTTTTCTAAGTTAGGGTTTGAGCCTGTAATTTCTGAGAAAAGATTCTGAGTCAGTGGGTATGGAGCAGGGTTCCGTGTAGGAAGAGAGGAGGGATAAGGTTCACGATCAACGGGCACAGGTACTTCAACCTGGTGCTGATAACGAACGTGGCGGGAGCCGGGGACATCGTGAGGGCGAGCGTGAAGGGGTCGAGGACGGGATGGATGAGTTTGAGCAGGAACTGGGGACAGAACTGGCAGTCGAACGCTGTTCTGGTTGGTCAGTCACTGTCATTCCGTGTCACAGGCAGTGACCGTAGAACCTCCACATCCTGGAACATCGTTCCTTCGTCCTGGCAGTTTGGTCAAACTTTTGTCGGGAAGAATTTCAGGGTCTGATTTGCGAAGGCCGAGAAAGTGTGGGAACGAGTTGAAAACGGAGGAAAAAGTAGCTCCGCTAATTTCGCCTTTTACTCTTTTTTTTTTTTTAATATTTTGGTAAGGTAGTGGGGAGAGAGAGAGAGAGAGAGAGAGAGAGAGAGAGAGAGAGAGAGATGAAGGGGGGTAAAGTGTGTGGTGGAGGTGGAGAGCTGAAGTGGCTGTGAGAGTTTAATGTTGAACAGCCCGCAGCTCTTAATACGGGAAAAAAAGGGGGGTTGTAATGCTTTTCTTAGTCTTAATATACAAATTTGTTCTTCTGATTCATGGGTCAATTGCTCATCATCTTACAAGACACGAATGTGAGACAAGTGTTGAGTTCTCTCTCTCCATCTCTCTCTTTCTCTCTCTCTCTCTCTCTCTCTCTATATATATATATATATATATATCGTGTCCCAAGAACAACGTTGTCTGCTTGTTTATTCAAACCCATCTTGTTTTCCTCCATTGTCTGCATCTCCATACATGCTTACCGCTTTTCTTATTTTCACACTTGGGGATTCTCACTTCAGTGTTCAAATTCCGAATTGATAACAGACAATATATGTTGTCTGATTCTTACATTTCAACAGAAAATGCAAAGAGCTCTCTCTGGTAATAGACAGAGCAAGAAAGGACAAAGAACAGAGATACAATGGGAAGTTTTTGGTTCAGGGTCGTAAACAATACGGATTCACGGCACCTTCACATAGGGCAAAAGGAGGGGGGAAAACAAATAAACAAAGCACTAATCAAATTGGTCACTACTCTTTAGCATTATCTTTATTATGAGATTAAAAAAAATCAACTCACAGACAAAAACCCCCGGTAAACTTGTATCTCTACACTGTTAAAAGAGCCATGAACTTCCATTTTCACCAAAATTACCCTCACAATGCAAAAGCCATTTTCACCCTCTCTGGATTTACTTCCCTTGTAACGTTTTGCATGTCAACCAAAAAACAAAAAGGAAACATTTTGTTAGAGTCCCATTTCCAAGCTCCAACAACTCTTTCACATAAACCCTAATATCATCCACAATTTTTTATTTGAATCCACCACCGATATGATGAGATTTCTTTGTAAACCAGATTATCTACTAACGGTACAAAGAAAAGGGCATTGAAAGGCGTCAACTTTGAAGCACCTCGAGCCTATTCATCAGTCTAAAATAAACATTAAATCAACACAACATATTATTCGAAATTCGATCCAAAGAGTCGAATTATTCAACGCACACGATGACGGCAAACAGAAAGATCTTTTACAAGCCCATGCTGTTCCAAAAACCAGTGTCTTAACCAAGGAACAGACACGAACCATAGACACATATAACCTTGCAGCTTTTAGTTTTTAAAATTATATGGCATCCATCTAGGGGATAAGTCAGCAGACCTACCCAGACCGAGATCCAGATTCCGATCTCGATGCTCTTCTTGCCCGTGATTTCCACTCGCGACGCCTTTCCTCTGCTTCGTTGTCGGATTTCCTGAAACCATAGTTCGATAACGGTATCACGGTTTCTGTAAAATCGACATCCAGGTTCATCTGAAGCAATCAACCTTGGAAGACATGAACAACAGACTCCCACTTACTCTCTGTACTCATTGTTTCCATTTCCATCCCGACCTGCAGCATCCTCGAATCCAGGGGAGTAGGACCTGCGGTTGTATTTTCCGCCTTCTTCTTCCCGGGTAGAACCCCGTGGTGATCTTGGACGTTCGTCTTGCTTTCGCCCAGGAGATGTAGAGTAATCTGCCCTTCGTCTTGGAGCAGGGGAATGAGATCTGTCATTTCACAACAGTTTTATACCTTCCTCGGGTTGAAGACCATGGGAGGAAAAAAAAGGTAGTGGTGAAGAAAGCTTTACCTTGATCTGTATCTGCTTCTAGAGTCTGATGGACGGCGAGGAGACCGTGAAAGAGAAGCTGAACGTGACCGAGAACGTCCTGAGAACAGATAGAATGCCTGTCAGTGTATCTTTGGTACCCAAAAAAGTGTATATACAGCAACATATAGACTTTAGAAAAATATGATCAGAATCAGATATAATATATGGCAAGGACAAATTCAAAATGAAGTCTGAAAGAAGTTTAGCCAAAGCTTAACACAGTATCGGATTTCAAAGAGCGAAAAGAAAAAATGCAAGACGAGAAAGGATCACAAACCATAGTAACCTGAAGATCGACCTCCATGGCTTGAAGGTTCCCTGAAAAAAATTGAAGTACAACGGTGATGTTATCTGAACTCTTCTAAATGCAAATGATAAAGATGTTTGGCAGGAACTGGAAATGACGAAGAAATATTTGATTAAAACCCTTTTCTCATTTCACAAAGCCAGGAGGAAAAAGGAGGTCTGCTAATGTCAACCGATCCAAAAACACAATAAGACAGAAACAATTACCTGGTCCTTGTCCTCACACGCATCTCCTCTGGCCTTTTCCTCGACTCTGCAGCAACGACAACCGTAATCTCCCTCCCAGCAAATATTCTCCTATTCATACTCCGCTGAGCCTCAGCAGCGTCATATGAATCAACAAACTCCACAAAAGCAAACCCCCGGGGTTTCCTGTACAAAATGTCAAAAACCCGTCATCCCAATTAGTCAATGGTAGATAAATAAGCACGTAACATCGGAGGAAAGAAAAGACTCCCCGGTAGAAATTACCACAACATTACCCCACACTCAATCATTTGCCAGTATACCTTTCTCGAGTACTGTAAAAACCAGCTTCTGAGAACTTCCGTTAACGCAGAGATCAAGATAAAAAAAAATGGCTAGTAGCTGACCTTTCATTACAGTTCAAGCACAATAACTTGAAAAGAGGCAAGAGATCTTGAAAGATACTGATATGCTTGAAAAAAAATAGGTAGCACTTGATCCCAAACTTAAAACTCTTCAAGTGGCCTTCCTCATCAAACTTCTATAGATATGAGTAATTTATGGTATTGCTTCATAAGGAACATGCTTCATTTACAACCGCTTCACAAGGGAGCTTCTTTCATTTATCACTGCTTCCACAAGGGGATATTCTTCACTTATTACAGCTTCGTAAGGGGTCATTCTTCGTTTATTACAGCTTGCAAACAAAACAATTCTTCGTTTGAGTATGATCCTTACTATCCTTTGGGACCAATAAGTTAGGCAATTTTTCGGTTTATCATGATGCCTTCATCAAATGTTGGGGCTTGGTCTTGTTCTAACTTCAAACCAAAATAACCCCTGGGAAACCAGTTCAACATTTAATTCACCATAGTGCTGAAAACGGAAAATAAGCACCTCTGAAAAGTTTTTAAGGCTCACCTCGATGATTTGGCTCAATCAATGTGTGGAAATCAACGATTTAAAAGATAACGTAAAACTCAAATCACATGTTTCTTGATCAAATCAACAGAACACACCGTAGGACTACAGGTTTCTAGATACCATAAGAACATGGAATGATTGCACTAAATTATCCAGTATCGATGACGAAATGGTGAAGAGTTAGGCATCAAAATATCTTAAGAAGACATTCCAAGAGGAACTAACCAAGCAAAAGAGTTCCAATGAGCTCACAGACTCAAAACTATAAAATCATTCATCTGGGAACCAAACAATTTTGTAGTCAAAACCTTCAGGCTATAATCATGAACCATGAAAGTAACTTACATCCAAAGGAGTTGAATTTAACAATGGCAAAGAACAGGTATTCATAACTAACAAAAAGATTCATAATTTGAAACTCTCGAGAAGAAGAAGACAACACCTGATCAAACTAGAAATGAGAGAGAGAGAGAGAGAGAGAACTCACCCTGAATAGTAGTCCCTTGGCATATAGACATCCCTAACAGGTCCAAACCTCTCAAAAGGAACTCGGAGCTCTTCCGGCCTGCAAAAACGAACAACAAACTGCAGAGACAGAAACTAGCTCAACCTAGTGAAAACCCTAGAGAGACAATACCTGCAATCTAGCGGAATGTTCCGAACCAAGAGGCTTCCATGGTTCGGGCCCTTACGTCCGCCATGGCCACGTCTAGGAGGACTGCTCCCTCGACCGCCATATCCTCTCCTCGGAGGGCTGCGACACGGTGGACTGTATCGCCTCATGACCTAATAACAAACTACGTAAATTCACCAAGATAACATCGTCCCGATGAAATCAACGTCTAATTCGAAAAATTGCAAACAAAATTTACATCTACGAGACCAGGAATCAGTCAATTTCACATCGAATTCCTCAAAACCCAAACTGAAGCTCACCAACTAGGGTTTTACATCGGAAGCATCATCCACTGGCAACGAATGAGCCGCTAAGAAAGGACATGGATTTACCTGAGATCGAACGTTGAGAACTTCGATGGATGAAAGAGAAGAGAGTTCAGAAGCGCCTCTCGGACAAAGATCCAAGTTAACCCTAAGTGCCTATTTTACAATTTCCATTTTCCATGGATTAAATCATATTTATTATTGTTGCGTTGGCATAAAAGAACGTTTGAAAAAAATATAGTTTCTTTCTCTATATTATTTTCTGTTGCAATTTATTAATATGTTTATTTTAACATTTAAATCTTAACTTATATATTTTTAATATAATTATTTTTTTTTTGTCTCAATCAACAACCAACCAAATCAGCAATGTAACACATTTATAAAATACCTTAGTATACAATCATGATACCATGGCGTATTGATGACAAAATATCATGATAATGAAAAGAAAGAGTTCAGATTGAAACGTAATTATTATATTTAATCACGAAAATAAAAAATATTATATTTGAGATGCTAACTTGGCATTATATCAAAAATACTCTCTTTACTATTTTGATTTTAACATTTACTTTTATCGAACTATAACTCTGTGAATCTAACATTTACTTTTATCCAACTGTAACTCTGTGATTCAAAAGTATAATCTCGATCACATTGATCATAGAGATATTTAATGTATGAACATAATAAATATGAATGTGATCATCATAAATTTAACGTATGTCAAAAATGGAAAAGAATATGTATTGAAGCTAAAATAGAAAAGGAAAGATATTTTTGATAATACACGGCTAAGTTATACATCAAAAGTTCAAAACATAGCAAAAGAATAATATTATTATCGCTAAAATAAAATGGTTCACAAATATAGAAAAATAATATATATATATATATTCTTGCCGTGGCTAAAGTTACCAAGTGGTTTGGTGCCTTGTGGTCGTAACTTTGAAAAATGTTCTCCAAGAACTTTACTCTTGCCGTGGCTAAAATCTAGGAGAGGGCAGGCATCAGATACCCGAACCCGATTTTCGCGTTTTCTATACACATCCGATCTCATCGCGTTACAAAGGCGGGTATCCGAAGAATTTCGGGGGGGAGGGGGGTTCTCACCTCTACTAAAATCCTAGGCAGAAGCATGAGACTTTCCGGAAAGCAGATATCAAGACAGGACAACTGCCGGTGCAGCGTCAGATTGAGGTTGTAAGGCTGAGGCATCTGTCTCGACGAGTAAAGGGTTCTTCTGGAATTTGTTTCTGAGCTGACCACACGCCGCACTTGCGTCGAGCCCTCTAGTCTGCCTCACACTAACTGTTACCTTACGGGACTCGAGTGTGGCTGCAAATGCTAGAACCTGCAATGGTTGCCACAGTGATCAGTGACCAGTCGTTTTTTATTTTATTTTTTGGAGTTCTTCTTCTCGGAACATTAAAGGGAATGTCGAGATGGGTTATCGACGTTACTGCTTTCCTGTAAGGCCGTTGGTACTCCGAGCCTTCGATCGGATTGAAAGGTATCAAATTTACATGATGACCTCGACCCCATTCATGGAGTAGCCCTGCGAGTTCCTTCGCCTGCTCTACAGAATCATTGACTCCAGCTGCCATGGCCATGATTCAAATACGAGTTTCCGGTCAGATATTCACCATGAATGAATGATCGTAATTACATGTTGAAAAGGAGGAGCAGAACACATCGTTTTGCTCAAGTAAATGAAGGCTATTATCACAACCTAGAAGGGCATATTCGAAGGAGACTCGTCTACTTGTTTCTTGGAAGTAATCCCGACAATCCTTCATGATTGCTTCCAATGGGTAAACCTTTGCGCTCGGTACGATTTTCTCCCGGAGGTTCTGGTTTGGGGCATGCAAGCTGATTTACCAAACAAGAAGAGAAACAATAGTATAAGTAACATGAACATCACATGAAATGGTCCATTAGATCAAGAAATAGGACTCTTCCAAAGCATATGCTGCATGAGTATGACAATAAAAATGGCATGAACAACACATGAAATGGACGGCAAGAAGAAAGGAAGCAAGCAACCTCACGGCTAAAGTGGACTGAAGTTTATGAGAGGCCAGGTTCTTGATTGTGTTTGGGACACCCACTGTAGAAATTGTGATCATTCTTTGCCCAATTTGAATATCCTAGACAAACGGAAAACCCCATTACATGTGACTACCATACGCCTGAAAATTCAGAAGAAACTTCATACGATACGATGGAAGAATGATGTGGCAGTCAGAACCGATCTGGAAATGTTACACTCATACTCTCGAAAGACTGTCCCAAGTAACATGTCTTGAATCAATATCCTTTAGTTCACTCCTAAAAAACAAAGAAGTAAAACAATAAAATGCTGAGGTTATACCTTATTCAAACTACGATGGGCATCGAGTACTGCCTTTAGGTTCAACATCGGCTCACCCATTCCCATGAAAACCACATTCGTCACCCTGTGCTTGAACACCTCCTCGATAGCCAACACCTTAGACACGTTAAAATACACTTGAAAACGCAACCTGAACCGACATTTCTACCTAAATTTCTCTCTGTTGCTTGTACGATCAGTCTTTTATTTTATTGTTACTACATACAATAATGCTTCCTAAAATCTCTGGCTTCTTCTACCTAATACAAGGGACGAAGAAAAAACCTGCTCGATGATTTCATGCCTCTGAAGATTTCTTGAAAATCCTCCTTTCCCAGTGGCACAAAACGAGCAGCGCAATGGACAGCCGACCTGACCAGAAATTCCAAAACATCATTTAAAGGATCTCATGCAAGCGAAATGCGAGTTTCCAACACATGAAAGTCCATTCACCTGAGAAGAGACACAAGCAGTAAGGCGCATCGAACCCTTGTCATCTTGAACAGGAAT